GGGCGTCAAAATAACACCCAGGTTAAAGTGCTAAATCGAAGATTGAGGTTTGCCCTAATTCACCCTAGGTAGGTCTTAGGTCGCTCAATTGTCCAAGGAATCTAGCTTATCAAAGCCTCCTAACAAAAAGGTGAATTCCCTCTTCCTAGGTCAAATTGGCATAGTAATAAGAAATGAAGAACACAATCCAACACATCATGAAAATACCTCAAACTTTGCATTAAACATAAACAGAACACAAAGCATTCAATTAATATAATCTATCACATATTTCAACCTAGGGTTCACAACACCTAAGTAAATAGGTAGGCTACTCCATAGCTAGGCAAATGAAAACAAGAAAAGGGAGAGAAAGAACCATGAATCTCCCTTGGGAGGTAAGAATGTTCACTCCTCTAGCTTAGGGTCAGCCCAATCTCCTTTTTCCTCCTTTGAATGCAACTTTATCTCTCTAGAATAGGAAGAGGAAACCCTAATCTCTCACTAGAAACCCTCCTTTATTCTGAAAACTAACACCCTAGAAAAAGCTCCCTTGAAGTACCTCATCCAACATCACATCTTCAACATCCACCGAGGGTATCACATCAAAATGATCAAGCAAAGGTAGAAGGCAGCGTCGAGCACATCGCTCACTATATATTAGAACAAGTGCCCAAGAAATTTAAGAGCAAACTTATTTGGCTTCAAGGATTACCTTTAGGTGAAAGTTCTAGTTTTAATTGAACACTTTTCGCCCAAACTCGGAATTGAAGATGTAATCTGCTCTAAAGTACAGAAGTTGGCATGACTCAAGTTACTCTATATTCAAGAAAATATCTACTGGGTGCTTGTTCTAGAATTTATCAGTTAATATGACCCTAGGAGGCGTATGTATCAAAGTTACGCAGAAAAGATCAAGCCAAAGCTTGATTGAATTTGAACAAGAACAAGGTAGGTCATTTTTTGGGCTTTTGTGTTTAGATACGGAACTCTCGTGCATTCTTTCACGTGGAAGAAGGCTCCATAAGTGTAGGTTTATGCTGGGTTTCATCAAATTGAGCTTGGAGATCATCATAGGAGTGAAAATCATCATCCCAGAGCAGATTCTTCCCATTGTTATGAGTATGACTGCTTTGTATTCTATTTTCCTCTCTCTCTATGGTGTAGAACCCTTCTCTCACTTGGGTATTAATAACCCTAGTTCCATGTGTTAGGGATCATGATTGTAATGACTTGGGATTGCTATACTGTTTGGTTTTAATCCAATGATGCATGATTCATTGAATTGATTGAAGTCTGATAAGCTTTTCTTGATTTCTGCTGCAACCTGATATATATATATAATCTGATTAGGTTGTTAGAGCTTCTTCATTCGGTAGTAGTAGATTGGCTATACGAGAGTTAGTCAGTCTACTGCTTTGTACTGGAATCCAATTCCAGTAGTGGAGTTATGTGCTTATTGCTTCAGCTTTCTATCGCAGTGAAGACTAGTCGTCTATCTGCCGGGTAGTTAGACTAAGAGGGCTTGGTTAGCTTAAGAGATTCCAAGCTACTGTCGGATCTTCCGTAGTCTAATCAACAGTAAATCAACCCAGGGTAATTACAACTGAGACCTAACTAAGGAGTTAGGGGGACTCATTCCCGAGTGACTCTTCCTTTGCTTTAGAAAACCGAACAAATTCCTGCTTTCTTACTGCTTTTAGTTAAAACAACAATCAATCAACTTAGTTTGCTAGATAATAGATAATCACGGAGTAGGCAGTAGAACCAAAAAGCGCTTCTTTCACATCGCGGTCCACCCTAGAACCTCCTTGAAGTTGAGGTTCTTGTCGATGAGGTGGAGTCTCAAGTCATGAGCAGGTTTTATGATAGGTGATGAAGATGGCTCGTGCCCTTGAGGAAAATGATGTCTCCACACTTTAAATCTCTCCTTTGCTTCTTCTCTTGTCTTATTACCCCAAACTAGATATGACATCATTGATTGACCACCATCGTGTCCTCCAAGAGAGATCGATGTGGATGTGGTCTGGCAAAGAGACACTGCAAATGGGAACTTGCCAAGCAAATCCTCGAAGTTTGGTGGAGATATCACAAGTAACATAGGGCCGGTGCAAGCCTCTTCCACCTTAACTTCATCCTCAACCTGGACAACACTTGCTTCTTCAACCCCCCTTCCTTCTTCAGAATGTGGTCTCTCCCCTAGGAATAGATCAAGAACTCCTTCTGCTTCACTTCTGTCATCCTCCACAACTTCTTTCCTCACCCTTTCTTGCTCTTCTTCTTTCACCACGGATTGGAGAGCAAATCGCCAAGCAATTTCTTTAGGGAGATCATATTGCATCTCCTCTCTCGGGCCCATCCTGTCAGAGCAGAAAAGGGGAAAGGTGTGATGTGCCACCACAAGACGTTCTTGATCATGATTATCACGGGAGCTCTCCGCGACAACTTCTATTTGCTCCACAATGTCCTCGTAGCGTTCGTCATCCTCCTCCTCCTCCTCATCTAATATGGCAGCATAAAGGTGATATTGAACATGTTGTGTGCAAAATTGCTCCACCCACTCTGTCTGCTTCGCTAAGAACTGAACAGCCTCCTCCATTTCGTGGAGAAATGATGGATCAGAAGGGGCAAGGGCTTGGATTTGAAGATCTATCTTGGAGCATTATCTCTCAGTGTCTTGAGCAAACTTCTCCACGAGAATCCTCAATTATTTGTTTGGATCTTTCAGTGGAGTGTAGCATGGCTCTATAGAGTAGTCCGTGAAGGCCGCCATGGCTAACTCCAACTCAGATGGCCCCTCTGGTTGTGGGAGGAATTCTTCTTGAAAATGAAATTCTTCTTGAGGTTCCCAAGGGTCTGGTTGTTCTCCGTAGTAGGGAGCTTGGTACTGAAACCCGAATCCATAGTCTTATCCTCCTTGATTGCTCCAGGAAGTCTCGGGGTAATACCACACAGATGGTGATTGATACCCCCACTGGTTGGAGAAGCCATGAGGATCCAAGTTTCAGATCTGCAAGAACAAAAACAAAATACCCAAGTGAAAAGCAAGGGTGGAAAATAAAAGAAAAACACTAAAGTAACAGACTTTCATGTTTCTACAATAACCCGGAGTTCCCCGGAAACGGCGCCAAAAACTTGATTCACTATGACACAACTCCTAACAATGGCCAAGTGTAACCAATGAAAGGGACTGCAGTATAGTGGCACAAGTAATAATATCGAATCCACGGGTCTCTATAGTTACTGTACTCAGCTTCAGTTCAATATCTAGAAAAACAAATTAATGATTGATTTAATAAACTACTCTACTAACTAAACTAAGGCTAAACTACTAATTATAGGTTGGAAACTCACTCAGGTATGATTCCCCCTGTCTCCTCAATTAGGTCCAAGTTATAATTCTTTTTGGTTGCTTTACTGTTGCTTAAACTGCGGAAGATTCAAAAATAGCTTGGAATCTCTTAAGCTGACCAAGCCCTCTTAGACAGAATACCCGACAGGTGACTAGCCTTCATCGGGATAGAATGCTAAGGAGATTAATATAGATCTCCACTACTTGGAACAAATTCCGGTTTAAAGCAGTGAATTGACTAACTCTCATACAATCAATTCACCCATATGAATCAAGGAAGCTCTCTTAACATAATCAGATTCTATCTATCATAGGTTATAGCCAAAATCAAGAGAATTTGATCAAGATTCAATTGACTCAGTATATCATGCCTCAATCGATTATAATCAAACAATATAGCATCCAAAGATTCAAACAACCAAGTTCCTAACACATGGAACTAGGGTTCCTCAAAACCTAAGTGAAGGGTAGTTACTCCATAAAGAAGATAGAGATTACAGTATAACTTTCCAAATCTTCAATATTCATGTCTAGACTTGTTCCTTGAGCTTCAATGGTAAAGAATCCTCCAAAATAGCTCCAAGAATGGCTCTATATTGTCCTCTCTCTCTCTCTCTCTTTGAAAACAGACTTATACCCGAGCAGGGGGCAGAAACACGGGCGTGTTTTGCAGCCCGTGTTTCTTCTCGGCACTAAAATACAGCCACAGGAGGGAAAAATATGGTCGTATTTCTTCTGTCGTATTTCTTCCTCGGCTCCTGTTTGATGCTTCGTTTCTCCCTCGTCTAGATTCCGAATCAGTTGTCGTTTGATCCCAGACGCTTGTAGTCTCGTCCTCTTTCTTTTCATGATAAGATTCCATGATTATTTATCCTTAATATGAGATCGAAATCCATTCTTCCACTGGTCATGCTCGAGTTTCTTCTCCCGAATTGCCAAATGATCTCTGATTGACTTGAAACTTGCGCCTATGCTTCACTTTACGTGCTAGGACATGAAATGTGACAAAGGAACACAACCTAGCGTAAAATATGTCAAAGTATGATAAAAACAAGCTAAAAAAACAAGGAATGAGGGGTAAAAACATGTACAAATGCAATGTTATCACTTTCTTTAAGCACAAGTAAGCTGCCTTTCAGCACAAGCAAACTGCCAGAAAGACACTTTTCGTACTAACTTTGTGCCTTTCATTCGAGGCCTTCCCGAACTCCAATCTTTCATCCAATTCCTTCCCTTTGTATACAAACATAACTAGTTTCAGTTGTGGAAGCCTTTGGACTCGAATAAGATCCATGCTTCTCGAATTGAACTCCAAAGTAGGCTGCACAAAACATTTTCTGCTTTAGCCATATTTAGGCAGTTTTCAGCTTTCCAGATGGCAAATTTGAATGTCTGGAAAGTTATTATAATGGCTTCTTCTGGATCCAAAAACTATACCATCTAGTTTAGGAAAATTTTATCTGCAAATCAAACTCTTAATTTCCCATTTTCAGTGAGCCAATTGTGAGAACCAAGCCTCCAAACTCGGCTACCTGAAACATGAAAAATAATTTACCAGAATTTCAGCCTTCTTTGGCAACTGAAATAGCTTCTTCGTCAAGCAACTAAGACTTGTAGAATCGGCCATTTTGGATCATATCAGGCTCCCCCTCTTTAAAAAGCTTTGCCCTTAAAGCTGGTATGATTCGACAAGCCATAACATGATTAGAGGGATCCCAAATGGGTCATCAAGATCGAATCCCAAACATGCCACAATGGCCTTCAAACGACCACTGCATTCATCCTGACTTCCTTTGGTTGATGATTTCAATAGAACCAAAGCCCATTGCTCCTCCACTTCACTTCCTTGATCCATATCGACGTTGATCAGCCTTGGAAATGCAGCCAGAACCTTTATCACACTACCCAGTTTTGTGACGAACTCGAGAAAGTTGCGAAAGTTGAATGGCAAGGATTCCATCTGCCATTCTTCAACCTGTTGCTCGAATCTTCTTTCTCCTTCATCGATTTACACTTCTCAATCAACTCCAAGCATAAACTATCCCTAGAAAGCAACTAATCATCATTTTCGTTTTTCGCCGTCATCAGTTTTCAAATTCTCCATACCGAGAACGTCCAATTCGATTTTGGGCGTTTTTTATTCCCGAACATTTTGGATCGTATCATTAGTACTCTCAATATTAGAGATATGAGGGGTGCCGTCGACCTTGAAGATAACATCCAGTTTCAACTCGGAGGAGAATACCACCATATGTCGATCCGGGAGTTCACTAAAGCAACGGACATCTACCCGACGAGTTTCATTGATTCACCTAATGAGTTTGATACCTTGACAAGAAAATCCGACTTCCCTTGTTTCAAGATACGTTTTAGGAGAATGAAGTCAAGAATCCCGATAGTCGACAATGGGATGTGAAGTTATCAAAAGCCAGTGAGGTGAAGCTGGAGTGGAGGCTCATACACCACGTGATTGCAAGATCCGTGGGAGGTAAGAACCGGAGCAAGGGCAATCTAACCGCTCGATATGTCACCTTGTTTCAGAGCATGCATTTTCCATGGTCTCTTCATCTCGGTTTATCCATCCTTTCTATATTCAAGCTCTACAAGACATATCACCGACTTGCCTCACTTCACGAGGAGTGTTTGTCACCCGACTTGTCAAATATTTTCAAGTTAACTTCGGAGCCGTTCAATTTCGAATGGATAGTAGGACCATTCCTATGTCCTTAGATTTTTTGAAGTAAAAGCTTAAGGTACTACACGTGAGCAATGATGGCATTTGGGGGCTATGGGGATTCCCATTTCCAACCACTAATACTTTGGATATGGAGGGAACCATCTTCCTTCTTCTGGATGTTAGAGTGGCAAGGGACCGAAGAGGTTTGGAAACCAAGGAAGACCAAGAAGAAAGTGTGCATGAAGGAGGAGAGACGCCTATTCCCACTCTCCAACCATTCACCCACCGAGAAACAATGCAAGAGATTATAGGATTGTGGCGATGATAGCGGCTATCCTTCATAATCAACGACGGGAGAGGGAAGCACACCATCATATAATGGTGTGCATTCACACGATCATGGAGAAGATGAAGATTCCGATCGACGATGTACCGGCCACATTCAACCGCTTCGCTTCTCCAACGCCTCTCCATGATGAAGAAGAAGGACCCTCCGAGGAGGAATGAGTTCTAGGCATCCTGGTCCTACGTTCTATCTTTTCTTTTTCTTTATTTCAATTAAAAAAAAATTAATTATCACTTTAATTTCTTTCTAGTTTTCGTACTTCAATTATGCTAGTAATCGTAGTAATAGTAGTACCTATTATATACACTTATATATCGTACCTATAACTCCTATTTGTCTTCCTCACTATCTTATGCACTTTATCGTTGTGAAAACCAACAGGAAGATAAAGACTACAATTGTGAACCTTCACCAACCCACAACCCGACCTATAGTAACAACATTCACGGTCTTTCCTTTGGAAACTCCCACATTGAGGACAATGTGTTGCTCTAGTGTGTGTGTGGGGGGGGGGGGGGTGTGTTTGTTTGAATGTCTACCATGATTGGTTGAACCTTTATTTTCTAGTATCTTTCCTCTTTTATGAATGTGAGAAGTTGTTAAACACTTGTGGAAATGTGCACTAGTAATCATTTTTATGTTGTGGTGATGAATGGTGAAATTTCAGTATTTTTGGAACCTTGAATGCTACACACAATTTTTTTCAAATTTGAGGGTTCCAAAACACCTTGTCCTTGCATACCTACTCAATGTGCTTTAACTTGATTAGATTGATTGATTTGTGGTGCATCTTCGGTGATAGTTGCATGGTTTGAGTATCGGTATGTGAGGGGTTCTACTACTTTCTTCCTCTTTTGTGAGTTGATATTATTCGCTACTTTAGGAAGCCATTGTGTGCAGGATTCTCTTCTTTATGTGAACTAGGAAAAATTTTCAATTTGTGCCTAAATATAGGAAAAGAGGTTTTCACGTGAGTGGCAACCGGACAAAGAATTGAAATCAACCATTAAAGGATTATTCTCTTGGCTCGGATTTCCCTTCAAGGAAGTGTTTGGGGTTCAGATAGCTTTATTGCATCCCAATCATCTCTTACTGCTAACCATCCCCCAAACACCTCTCCTCCTCAGGAAATCGTATGCTAAGGACCAAAGGTACCTTTTATCGATACACGAGACCTCATAGCTCTCGTTTGTACCCAACATGTGTGCCAACCCAATGTGGAGTGCGGGCTGGGACGTGGTGCTCGGACTATGACAAATCCGACCATCAACTTCCCCACATGTTACCTTGAAAGGGAAGGCTATGATTCATCCGCTCTCGGTCACGAGGGAGAGATGCTATTATTCAATGGAAAAAATTGCAAAGGTTTGGTGCAACGAAGAAAAACGAGACCGAAAAATGACAATTCCTACCGCAAAAGGAAGAATAAAATCTCCTCAAATAGTTCTAGTAGTCGTTTGTTATCTAAAAATTCCCCGGAGCACATTTTTTTACGATTGGCCTAAGATAGTGGATATGGTCTTCGCGTGGGAGTTTGTGCTTTCACGGTAGGAAGGTAGTAGCGTTCATTAATCCCTGTATACTTTCATCTATGCAATGAAGAACTAGCATGCAAACCTGATCAATTTGGTCTATCATATTGCATTAGGTGTGAGTAGGTTTGCCTGGGGACAAGCAAACACCTAAGTGGGAAGGAGTTTGATAACACCAAACTTGGTGTTATTTAACCTACATATTTAGGTTTGTTTTGTGCCAATTCGTGTGCTTAAATCCTTGAACATCATCAAATACATCCCTATTGCGTTCCTATTTGATTTTGATGTGATTCTAGGGTGTATTAGTTGATATGTGCAAACTAGGTACAAAACAAGGTCACAAGTGTAGAGATGGGGCAGGAATTGAAGATCGTGGCCTAGAAACCAATGATCATGGCTAGTATCACAAGCCGTGAATACGAGCAAAAGATCGTGGCCCAGAAGCCAAAGATCGCGACTGCGATCTTGAAGGCCCAGGGAGCGAACTTCGCGTGGAAGGAGCCTTTGAGAAGCAGAGAGTTTCCCCCATTCTCATCATGACCAACATTCACTTTGTTCACGAGGAAGATCGCGACCACGACTCGCGGATCGCGACCGCGAAGTCAGCCCGCGATCTTCCCCCTTTAGAAGGCCATGACGATATCATCTTAAGATCGCGACCTATCATTAGAAGATCTTGCCTGCCATCTCCCATCCTCAGGCCGCAAACTTCCTCGAGTTCAGGATTCCTATAAATAGAAGACCCCTTTCCCCATTTTAAGAGAGCTGATTTTGAGAGAAATTTTATGGATCTAGAGAGAAAGAAGAGAGAGAAGCTGAAGGAAGGAGAATAGAAGGAGGAGCTAGGAGCAAGGAGGATCTTCCCCAACTTCAAGTCTTCTTCTATTTCTACCAAGTATCTTTTCCCCTCCTTTATGGAGTAGTCCTCCAAGGTACTAGGGGTTCTAAACACCAAACCCTAGTTTTAGGGTTTACTTTGTATATATTGATGTTTGAGGGTTTGAATGAATGAATGTGTTTGCCTAGTTGATTTTAATTCCACTCTTTCCTAAATGATGACGCTTGGGCAACTGGCCCCAATCTTCCCTCTTACCCTGCTTTATGCTACCGCGCTGGGTACGGAGTTCTAAGGTTAGACGGGTATGCGCCATCTGGCGAGTTTAGGTTAGATGTGTGAATGGGGGCCTATAGTGGTCAAGGCGATCGTACCCTGCTATAGGTGGATTTCCTAGGTAAACCTGCGATAAAACCTCGGTGTGGATGGCAGATAGTGTCCATTGAAACGAGTCATACACTTAATGCCTTAAATACTATAGCCTAGATTGAGGTGACTGGAACATGGGTTTAGGGGAGGCATACTCGCACGCGTGTGGATAACGACGAAGGCCCACAGAAAAGAGCTCACTCACCATATTCGACGACCCTAGATATCTATATATGTATAGTGACCCTAATCTAGGGGGATGATTAGTTCCCGAATTACCTGCTTTTAGCTTTGATCAATCCTTAGACTAGAGTTTCCTCATATCATCCACTCAAAACCTCAAAAACCGATTAACTAATTAACAACTAGATGGGAAGTAGGCTACGGTACCGAAACTCGGGTACAATACGACCTTGATTACCACTATACGGCAACGCCGTTCTACGTTAAACTTAGCCTAGGATGAGGTAGTTGTGGATACGTTCATACCTCTGACAAAAACCTGCACGGATTGAAGTGATCAAAACGCCCAATGGGCAATTTTATAGAGAGTGAGTGACCTATGAGGGTTCTATGAGCTATTTTGGAGGATCAAATCACAATTGAAGCTTGAAGAACATCTTCTAGAAGATGAAGATTCTAAACTTATATTGTATTCTCTCTCCTTTTCTCTATGAATTAGATTTCCTTCTCCTATGTTGATGAACCCTAGTTCTAGATTTTCGTTTGATGTTGATGTATGTGATGAATCCTCTGTTTGATTGCTCATTTTATTTATTTGATAGTTGTTTATCATGAATTGCATGAGTGTTTATTCCATTTCATGTCAATTGGGTTCTTGACCTAGAAGGGAGAAAATCCCCTTTAGGTCCATTCTTGGTAATTAGGGGTATCCCTATCATATATTGTTCAAGGAATCGCCGAGGAGTCGATTAGATCGATATATTGACGACATACATTTTCCCTAGGTTGAAAAGAACACTACCAATTCGTCATTACACTGTTCCGGGTCAATACCCGAGGGAGTCTATCTCCTAGTGGTAGAGAATTTGAGTTGAATGAGCTAGGATGGTACGCAACATCGGCCCGAATGATGGAACTAGGAGGAGTCAAGCTAAGAGAGCTCCACAAACTTGTAATTAACTAGGTTAGTGGTTAGGTTAGTTAAGCTAGGTTAGTTTCTTAGTCAGTATTCTAG